TACTAATGCATTTACCAGTTTAAATGCATTTAAAATACATTATTTGAAACATTTAGCACCCAGTATCAGACCTTTTCTTGTTGACAATTATCAATAATGGAACAAAGCGCACTCTTCAAACATCCCATATGGTTTTAACTCACTGAAATCTTGTTGACAGGATCCTTTTGAAGAAGATTGTTTGGGATGATGGTCAACTTTGCCTATTATTTTACATAAATGAAAATCCCTCTTTCAGGTGTAGCTAGAAAACAAATGTTTTACAACCATTCATTGAAAATGGCTGCCTAGGGACCTCAAACCAATAGAGAGCCTCATAAGTCCTATTTAGTGCGAGCCACAAATGCCTAGCTGGGTTGAGGGAGGCTCAGATTCTGCTTGGAGCCCTACACGTAAGTCTAACATTGGCTTTGCTGTCATCTCCTATTGTTTTCAAATAGGTTGAGGCCAAAGCCTATTCTCGATTAAGATACCTTTCTTAAAATAGCCACCATCTTCTGTGGTTTTCAATAAAACTGAGTAGACAGACTGACCTTGGGAAGAGGGCTGCCATTTGCATTTATCTACTCTTCATAAACATAGGAAGACTGGGAGGTGATAGGGACAAGGAGGAGCATCTTGAGAAGATTATTCCTCCCCCCCCCCTTAAAGGAGATATGGTACATTAATTTTATTGATTTTAAAACTTCCATATATATATAATAGCAACAGTTTAATTAATAATCCAAAGCAATCCTCCCCCCCACCCCTAGTATCTCCCCCCCCGACCAAAAAATATCAGCTGTTGCACTAGATGTTCTCTGAAGGAAAACATCACACGTGTATGTTTAAGTGTATGCTCAAGGTAATATGATGCATGGAAAGGAGAGCAAAAACTGGTGTAGTAGGGGAAAATAAAAGATGCTGGAAGGAGAGGGAAAGTTGATGTGTGCACATCAGAGATATATGAAAACCAGGAAAGAGAGGGAAATTAGGTTGGCTGTGGATGTGTGTGTATGTGTGCATGTATGCACATGCTCATGTATGTGGGAATGTGGTGGCAGGTGGGAAAGGAACACTAGAGTTAAAACTGGCTGTCTTGTGCTGCTCTGGTGACTCAAAATGGCCAGGACACAGTGTAAGAGAAATGGCACTGTCCCTAGGAGAGAAAATTAAAGAGAGAGATTTAAAGTTGATGTTACTATGATTAAACGATAGGAAATATTACCCAGTATCTTTTACTTTCTTATCAATTATGCAATATTTTCAATAAATAAGGAAAAGTGATTATAGTATAGTGAAAGTTGACTGACGTATCAGTAATTAATGGTAAAAAAAATACTATAGGGATATTCTAAGGGTCTCCTAAACAATCCAGGAAATTCAGAGTTAAGGCTTGACTTAAAATAAACCCAAACATATTGTTGTCTGTAATTCCATTAAGGAACACAAACATCCTTAACTCTGTCCTTTAGTGGCACTACCGCTTATATGTTTTTTTTTAAATCAGTAAAACTTAGGATATATTCATATAGCTATTGCAAAGCAGAGTTAAAGTTTTTGAGAGATGACACTATGCATTTCTGAATCTTCATATGTTCTGGATTTCTTTTAAGACTGACTCTTGTTTTCCTGGGTTTATCATATCTGCTTTCTCTTTCACTCTCTAGCTCTCTTTTTAAAAATAACTAAACCATTCCAGTAAGGCATTTACATTGCATTGTCTGAGCTCCACATTAATGTAGCTTTTGCCTAGGAACTTTAAAGTAGGTGTATTTTAAATGAATGAATGGCATGTTGTAATGCCTTTTCTCCTTAATTTCAAAACTTAACAATTAGCTTAAGTGACGATTAATATATCCTGTTTAGTTAAAATGTAATGAATACTAGTTTACTCTAAAATATTTATGCAAGAAATTTTATACCTTATTAAAACCTTGAATTTTTTGTTAATATTTGAAAATATGAACAGAGAAGGGGGGAATATATTTGTTAAAATGAGATTGAAAAAAAATATCCCCCTGTCCCTGTTAAATCTTAAGCCCAACGTTTTTGTACAAAAAACAAACAGATGAAGAAAAAACCCTATGTCCCAAGTATCTAATGCAGAGAGCTTTGAGTGGGAGTTCTCTCAGGACCAGGAATATTTCTGGTTGTCAAAGGCTAAAAAGATTATTTATTGTTTCCTTCCTAAACCGAGCTCCACTGCCACCTGTTCAGAATTTATATAAAGCTGTTAAACAAGACCAGAACTTTGATGCCAATTGTGAAAACAAGTTTCACTGTATCTGACCCTTGAAGCACTTACTACTGATCCAGAAGCAAAGGAATTTGATTTTTTTTTTAAGCACAGCTATCTTTTTACCTTTATAAGCTGTTTAAAAAATGTAAATAAAATAACTCAGTGGACAATAGAGGGCATTCATCCCACAGAAAGACAGCCGCCACCCTTAGACATGAAATATCGCAGCACATTAAGTCATGAGACCCCGCTAATCAAAGCTGACAGGGCCCTGAATGTGATTTCTGCTGAGACTTAGCGATATCATGGGGCACTGAAGCATGCACAGCCTGCCAGACTGCCCCTGTTCATGTGACAATGGCTTTTATTCGCTAAAGGGGCCTGCAAGTGACAAGAGTCTCCTTTGTCTTTAGATTCCTGCATTTGGAGTGCAAGAGAGGTTCATTCAACCAGTCCCAGACACTCTTTGAAAGGCTGAAGTGTAACATAAGATGACCATGAAACACTAGCTTGCCTTCTGCCTACCCCTCATTCTTCTAAAGCACAGCCTGGCCTATTCAGAGTCTCTTCACAGAATAGCATCGCACTATATTAGCCTCTGGTCTGCTGAATTCCATCATTGTTTAAAAAGTACCAGCGGCCATCTTGGTTTTCATAAAGCCAGTCACCAACACTGAAACAGAGAGAGTTCAAGAAAAAGGGTTATGAAAGCCTACAATGCTATCAGCGACTTGCAGTCCTGCACAACACATGTTGTGCGCTACATTTTGTCCAAGACTAAGTCTGAACATGGCATCGAGTCAAATACAGTAAAGATGGGTGGCTTAATGCCTGGTTCAGGATGACTAATGAAACTCACCTTCTAACTGTGCTTGGCTCAAGACAGCAGCTATACAAGGCAGGGGAAAGGCACCCCTGTCGGTACTATATAAACAGACATTTTAAGTCCCTTTTGCTTAGACACTATCCGCATTTTGTAGAAGTACCCCAAAGTCCTTTTTGTCAGACCCGTAGTACTGCCCGTAGTCACAGTACTGCACTCCACCTGCAGCTGCAGTGAATGGATAAACACCCACAAACAACAGACCCGAGAGACGCACAAAGACTTGCCAAAGGCCTCCAACAGTCACTGCTAAAGCTTCTGCATTTTTTTTTAATTGCCATCTTATTTAGTTCACAAAAATGCAGCTCTGACTGTGTCTTGGGTGCAACAGTGACATCCTCTGGTTCACTAGGCTTACCTCGTCATCTCCTTCCCAACCAGTACCTCTGAGAATGCATCTCTCCCTGCCAGTACTCTTTAAAAATAGTACGAATTGGTCACACCTGTGACATCTGCCACCAAAAATAGGGTTATCTTTATATACTCCAAGACCTGTCTTCCATTTACTAATTGTCCTCCCCCACTTTCACTCCAGACACATAAGACAAGGTTACAGAGCTGTAAAAAATCTGTTAATGGGAAAATTAAATATGTACACAGGACTATAAAGAATACGTTACACTAAGGTAAAAGATAGCTGGTTGGTTTCATAGTTGGTAGGGTTGGAAGGGACCTGAGCAGATCATCAAGTCTGACCCCCTGCCATGGCAGGCAACAAGATGAAATGCTTGCGTGCCTTTCTAATACTAACCTCCAGGGCTTAAACAAAGGAGACAGAAAAAGGACAGAATGAGATCAAATGACAAGAATTTCAACCTTCAGAAGACTCAAGGTCTGACAAAGGGAAGCTAAGAAGCCCACACCTGGATCTTCATTACTGTCCTATCTGAAACCTAGAAGAACCCCCAAGATGCAGACATACTAGGGCTTGTGCCAGATGCCACACACTCCTAATTCCAGGTCCTATTCCATTGGTATTTTTATTTAAAGTACCTGTAGGGAAGGTTTAGCCCAAATGGGAATAAAGGATTTCCTGTCACATGCTATTACTCCAGTCCGTCTTGGAGGGCATAAGGCAAGACCTCCATTCATTCTTTGGTGTAGTATAACCAGGATTAAAATATGGGCATGAGAAATCAAATTTCTCTAAGATGCCATAAATAGCACTGGGAAAGACAAAAAATGCCTTATCCAATTCTTCTTAAATCCCACGTTTCCCTGTTAGATGAGTGTAGAGGGCAGGGAAAAAACAAGAGAAAAAAAGCTCCAGAAACATGTGGAGCTTTCCAGGTCTGCACTTCCAAGAGACTGTAATGAAAAGCCATCTCTGTCCCTTCAGCTTCACATGTCATGTACAATTCTATTTACAATTGTACTTAAAATAGTCAAGTTCTGCTTCCCCCCCCCCTTATTTTCCAACACCAAGGGCTCCAAATTCTAACAAACAGCAACAAAACCCCCAATATACTGCCAATACCTTACTTGTTCGACCTGTCTGGGAATGTATAGCTTATAATCAAGTGCAAAATGTCCTTGCTTTGTTGTTAGAGGTCATTCAGCTGGGATGCTGGAGCTCTGACTTTTGTGAGATCAAGAGTTGTAACACCAAATGGGACATATATTTTTAATTCTTAGTTTTATGAAGATAGGCTGCTTTAAAATTAATCGTCTCCTTTTAAGGAAAAACAAAAGTCTTGCCTTATTTTCATTTGAAAATGTCAATTATGGCATATTCCCATTGAAAACCAAGTCCAAACCTACCCAAGCACTAAGTCATGTTCAGTTCCACCACTCCAAGTGGCAGAACTGTAAACTGAAACAGAACAAGCTGGCCCAGAGATATATGCAGAATTAGGGCTGCGGATGTGTAAATGAAGCCAAAAAGACAGGACCCACCTCTTTGTACTTGCCATTGTAGTAAAGGTGACTGACGTGTCCAAGCAGATAGCTCCGGTCTGCTGTAAGGAGCTGATAAATGTTGACAAGTGGATCAATGAGATTAGGTTGGCACTGGACTAGTATTCTGAACACTCGGGCCTGGAGCTTCTTCAACTTCAAACCAGTCTAAAAAAGTCAAGCACAGGTTTAATAAAGACAGCAACTATTCAATGGCAGTTCAAAATGTAGCTTTTGAAAACAGCAAACAAGCTAATTCCTTGGTTCTCCAATGTTCCCATGGAGTTTACACACAGAAATTGAGACAACGTGCCCTATAACACATACATTACTTCACAGCAGCCAGTTTAAAACTATCAAATTGTCTCTGAAGTAGCCCTTGGTGAGCCAAATGGGCCTGTGCAAAAATCAAAATATAAGCATGGGGAAATATCCCCTCTCATTTAAATTTGCAACATTGACACCTCCAATTCCTAGCAGAAAATTCTAGAAACATGGAGTGGTATTGGAGCAAAAGGCTAATGTCAGAATCCAGTGATACAATAATTCAGACAATTCCTGACCCCCCTGTCCTGCATTAATTCTCCTACAACAAACTGCAGAGGCAGTAAAATAGATCTTCAGGGCTCTGAAAAAGACGGCAGAACTCCCAAATGCAGACACAAAGATAAAAGAAGCCAAAACCTCAGAGGTAACAAATAACATTCCTTGGGAAAAACTCAGAAGGTCAGAAGATAAGTGGACATGGGGAATGGAACAGCACTCAATCTGAGGACCCCATAACTTCAAGCTTATCATTTGATAATTCAGAAGAACCATATCATTACCAGTCTGTACATTCTGGATGACAGAAGCACCCTCCCATCTGGCGAATTAAATAGTCTTATAGTAACTGTCTTCTATTTGCAAACTGGAATAGTTTATGTGCGTAGCATAAACTACTGTGACTGGGTTCATGTTGTCAGCTGAAATGTCAGTTCCAGCAGAAAGGCTTTCAGCCAAGGGAAAGGTTGAATGAGCCATGTTCCATCAAAGCAGCTTGAACTGAGGAGATGGAAATCTCGGCTTAGAGAGAAAGACATAGGAAAGTATTTTAGCACCATTGCTTTTGGCAACATTTCCCTTTCAGGATGGTATCACTGGAGCTGAGTGCCTCAGTATGAATCCCAACAGCAGGTCACATTGTGATTATAGGCAGCACTAGGGGAAAGGAACAGGAATAAAATGAAAGGGGGGCATTTCAGGGACATTAAACTCTACATCAATCCATCTCTCTTTTCTCCAGGCTC